GTACTTGTAAATTTGATTCGTACTTGTAATGTGGCAAAGTTGTAACAAATTTATGTACGTTTAAAGACTTACATGTACAAATTTAGACTCTTACACATACAATGATTCTGACAGTTCTCTTACCCCATATAACAACACCTTCCTAAAATAATCCATAACTCAGTTTTGCCAACAAAGGACTTGGGCAGTTGTTTTAAGGTGACATAMTTGTCTAGATCAGGGGTTCTCAAAGTTTTTGTGTCTGGGGACCCCTTACAAGGGCGAAAAAAATTCCATGGACCCCCTCATAAACCCCATGCTGTTTTAAAAGATAATTTATTGTCATTTCAACCCCTAAATGCTATGGGAATATATATTTTTGTTTAGTTTATCATGTTTGTTTTATTGGTTCATTGTTCTTCATGCATTTTTAAAAATAAWAACCAAATTAACAAATTTAGTGACATTTTTTGAGGACCCCCAAGATTCCTCTCACGGACCGCTGGGGGTCCTGGGACGCCAGTTTGAGAACCTCTGGTCTAGATCCTGGTGCTACGGCTTGTTTTTCACAGGAACTACTGAGAGAAGCTAACTTGTCAAGATACTCAGTTAATTAGTCCCTTGAGAAGTATTCCACCTGTTCTATCACCTGTTTCCACTACAACAAGCTTTTAATTTCTCACAGTCYTATTCAAAGACATCCCAAATCAGACTTTAATACTTTCTCCCAACTTCTGTTGTCATTTACCAGCAGACAGGTGATGTTATGAACCATGATGTGCTGTAAGCTGCACACAGTGAGACTGCTCAATTTTGAAGAAAAAAAGAGATTAACGTAGTTTAATCAGTTCACACAGCTCAAAATAAACTGACAAACACTAAAACTAAGGATATTTTATCTATAATTTCAGCTGGTTTTAGTTAGTTTTGTTAAAAGATTTACAGTTTTAGTTATTGTTTTTTTTTTTTTCATTTTATTACAGTTTTATTTCAACTAAAATGTTTTTTTTCCAATTCAGTTTTCATTATTTAGTTAGTTTTGGTGAACTATAATAAGCCTGATCAGAAGCAGAGCTCTGTAAACCTGGTCTAACAGGACTGTGACAGACCTGCTCCTGGATCTTGATCTCCTGGTAGTCCCTGCAGGACGCCAGCTCTGAGCCTCCAGGCAGACAGCTGAACTTGAAGGAGTTACAGCCGTCAGGGTTTGGGCAGCCGGCCGGAGGGACAAACGTGTAGAACTGGTGGAAATCAGCCTGCAGCTTAAACACGTGTTTGCACTTTGTGCACATGTAGTCACGCTCGTACTCCAGAACCTACAAGCAGAGAGACACTCACAGGGACACGCCCACTCACAGGTGACCACACGGTAATGTTCCCAGAACCAATAAAACTTGATTCTCTATATATACTGTATATACAGCGGGTAAAATAAGTATTGAACACGTCAACATTTTTCTCAGTAAATATATTACTAGAGGTGCTAATGACATGAAATTTTCACCAGATGTTGGTAACTAACTGGAACTCTGATCTTTAGTTCTTTCCATAGATTTTCTGTTGGATTCAGGTCAGGTGATTGGCTGGGCCATTCCAGCAG